TTGCGCTCACGGATGTTGCGTCGGATGGCAGGGATGAAAGCCAGCCAGGCGATGACATACCCGATGCCGATGGGGATGAAAGCAAGACCGATGGCGACGGTGGAAAAGTGCCACTGCTTGTAAACGAGGGCGAAAGACTGGATGAACATGAAGATCAGGGCGTCGGAGAAGCCGGAGAGGAGAGAGAGGACGAGGACGATGGGCTCGGTGAGGAACATGCGGAAGGGGCGGACCCAGGTGGTGATGATCTCGCGGGCGGAGAAACGCTCGCGGTAAGGGACGAGCTCGTCGGGGCCCCAGATGTTGGGGTTGCCGGCCTTTCTGCGGCGTTTGGCGATGCGGTTCATCATGATTGTGCTTCGGGTTTCGGGGACGGTGAAGAAGTGGATGAGTTGGACGACGCCGCCGAGGATGAGCTGGATCCAGATAGACCACCTGTGCAAGGTTAGGGTAAGGGCATTGAAAAGGGGTGTTGGGTGCCTTACCTCCAGTTGAGATACTCCTCGGTGAAGCCGCCGACGATGGGGCCGAGGACCGAGCCTCCTACGGATGAGAAGACGACATATGCCACAGCGTATTGCTGGGTGTCGGACTCCCACATGTCCGCAATCATACCCAGCGTTACTGAGCCTCCGGCGCTCGAGAGACCTCCCAGCGCTCTGCCGACCATGATGGAAGCGAAGTTCGGCGCCAGAGCGACAGGCAGTTGCCAGACATTGACCAGGAACAGCGAAGTCTGGAGAACCGGCCAGCGCCCGAACTCTTCGGACCAAGGTGCCCAAAGCTCGCAGCCAAAGGCGTAGAGAACGAGAAAGATCATGGCACCGCATCGCGCCGCCTGGGCGCTGACGCCGAACTCTTCCTGGATACCCGGGATGGCGTTCGAATAGAGCGAGGTGTTGAAGTTCATGGACACCTGGACCCAGAAGATGACGGTGAGAATGTACCATTTCTTCCACGTTGGGAAGCTGAAGCCTAGCTCGGAGTAGCAGTCGTCTTCTGTGATTTCCTGCTTCCCAGTCGTCGGGAGCTTCTCCGAGGGGGCGGCGTGGGCATCGTGATGGTGGGTGTGACTGCTGTCGGTTTCGGAATGATGATTTGCGTCAGGGGGTATGGACTCGCGGTTTTCTGTGAATGCTCTGTCCAGACTCTGCTGGTTGATGACCTCAGGAGGGTCTTCTGAGAAATGGGTGGGCATGTTGGCGGCAGGAGACGGCTTCACGGATCAAGCATGATACCAAGACATTAGAGTTGCTAGTACATCTGGGGTCTGGGGAAGCTTATAAGCTGGCATCTTGAAGTGCAAACTGCTCTGCTGACCTTCGAAACGGCATGATCGTCGCCAACTGCAACCACAACCAGACCAACAACATCATCATCATGAGGTCGGGCGCTCTGCTGGTGGCCATTTCCAGTAGTCGAGCACACGAAAACCCACACTGACATCACGTTCGCGCAGAAACCCCGGTGAGCCCGCGGCCGAACCCGCTGTGAGGTGCCGTGTATCCGAAGCGTCAACGACACGGCGGAGCCCCCTGACAAACGGTGCTGACTTTTCGCGGTCCGCTAGACGTTGGCGGCAGGTGGGTGGGCGATGACGCCGCTTTATGGCCACCGCTGAGATGCCGTGTAGCCGGGCCTCCGGGACCGGGCGCCGGGCGGTGCAGATCTATCGATGAGATCACCCTTGGCGAAACGTGCTGCCCGCAGAGCCGCACCCGCGCTATTCCCAGAGGTGAACCTCTGAACTTGGCAGTCGAATTTTTCTGGGCACTCGGGGCTTTTGCAGTGGGATTCTCAAAGATGGATGGATTTTCATCTGTTGGTCTTTGCATGATCTAATAAGATGATTGCCCAGTGTCTCTGACCCCAGAAAGCCCGAGGAATGGCATTGCTTCAACGGACCTGCCCAGGAGTGACCCCTGAAGCTTTAGTCAGGGGCGGGTTCAGCGGATCTCGCCCGCTAAAGCTCCGGTCCACGGGCAGCATGCGGGCAATAAACTCGGCAGAGACTGTTGCACCCGGTTAAGGGTTTTCCCAGTGGGCTTTCTACCAAAGCTAGCCATCTATCGAGCCTCCACCTACTTCCCCTGATGGCGCTGATAGAGAAAGATCAAGCCCAGTGCTTCCAGGACGCGCGCCCCCATCGTCGACCACACCTCGGTGGACCGACTCCACGGGGAAAAAGGCAGTCCCGACACTTCATGCAGCCTCACACCCGGAGAGCGCGGGGATCATCAGCTTTTTCTGTCTCTGCTCGCCTCCCGGAAGACGGATAGGACGGCATCGCCATGGAGTCAACCTCCAGACCCCGTTGAGGTCTCGTTGGGAGATGTGGAGGTGGAGAGAAAGCCATATATCTGGGCAGCCCGGGGGCTGTGGGATGTTTCTGGGGATGACAGCTTAACCCCAGAAACCTTCTTCGACACCTTTTTTCCTCGACTGTCTTTCCTCCCCATCCGCCACTATGGGTATCCTCACCGTCGTCGAGGACAAGCCGACGCCACCGGCGGTGTACAACTGGCGTGTTTACGCTCTTGCTGTCATTGCCTCTTGCGGCTCGTGCATGATCGGATACACGTCTGCGTTTATCGGAACAACCCTGAAGCTGGCTTCTTTTCAGGCTGAATTCGGGCTGGATGAGAAGTCGCAGGCGGAACGCAACCTTGTCAGCGAGAATATTGTCTCTCTGTTTGTGGCGGGAGCCTTCTTCGGCGCTCTTTTCACGTACTGCCTGAGCCACTTTATCGGACGCAAGCAGTGTCTGGCCATTGGTGCAGCGCTCTTCTCGCTTGGGGCGGGTCTTCAGTGTGGTGCTGATCACAAACTTGGGCTGGGTATCCTCTATGCCGGCCGAGTCTTCTCAGGACTGGGGACTGGTGTTGCATCGGTAAGTCTACTTCTCGGATTATCTCCTTGGGAGCATAGGCTGACGGTGCCCTCGCTATTCACAGAACATCATTCCCGTCTACATCTCAGAATTGGCCCCGCCAGCCATCCGAGGTCGTCTGGTTGGACTGTATGAGCTTGGGTGGCAGATTGGTGGACTTGTCGGCTTCTTCATCACCGTACGCATACCGACACCCCCTTTCAAGATCCCTCCAGCTGATATCCCTAGTACGGAGTTGATCTACAAATCGCACCGAGCCACACCCAGTGGATAATCCCCTTCGCCGTCCAGCTCGTTCCTTCTGGCCTTCTCTTCATCGGCTCCCTCTGGATCCGCGAATCGCCCCGCTGGCTCTTCTTCAAGAACCGCCGAGAGCAAGCCATGAAGAACCTCTGCTGGATCCGCCAGCTGGGACCGACGGATGCCTACATCCTTGAGGAGGTTGCAGACATTGACAAGATCTATGAAGAGCAGCGCGCCACCGTTGGCATCGGGTTCTGGAAGCCTTTCAAGGCTCTCGGCGCTCGCCCGCACCTTCAGTGGAGGTTGTTCATCGGGTGTATGCTGTTCTTCTGGCAGAACGGTTCGGGTATCAATGCCATCAACTACTATTCTCCGACCATATTCACGGTAAGTAGCACCAAACCCGTCCTTGACTTCACGCGCTGACTGCTGTCCAGAGCATCGGAGTCGAGTCCGGCACTGTGAATCTCATGACCGGCATCTTTGGCGTCGTCAAGGCCGTTATGACTTTTGTCTGGCTGCTCTTCCTCGTTGACCAGCTCGGCCGCCGCAAGCTGCTTCTCATCGGTGCCGTCACCGGTTCAGTGTGCATGTGGGTGATTGGCGCGTACATCTACATCGAGCAGCCGACAGAGAACCCCTCGGACCACCTGACGGGCAGCGGCATAGCCGCCATTGTATTCTTCTACCTCTGGACGGCAGTTTATACCCCGACCTGGAATGGAACACCCTGGGTTCTCAACTCTGTAAGTAATCCCTTATGATTGACGCAGAGCTATTACTGACATCCTCAGGAATTCTTCGATCCGAACTTCCGTTCCCTCGCCAGCGGCGCCACGACGGCAAGCAACTGGCTGTTCAACTTCCTCGTTTCGCGCTTCACGGAGCAGATGTTCGCAGCCATGGGCTACGGCGTCTACTTCTTCTTCGGGGCGCTGTCGTTCCTCGCCTTCTTCTTTGCCTTCTTCCTCGTCCCCGAGACCAAGGGTATCCCGTTGGAGAAGATGGACCGCCTCTTTGAGATCAAGCCCGTCTGGCGGGCGCACGGGGAGCTGTCGGCTCAACTGTCGCTGGAAGACGCGCACTTTCGGTCCGACGACAAGAACGAGACGGTCCACCAGGAGACGGGGTCCGACACGGATGCGACGAAGGTATGAGGGTTGGAGTTGTGCTTGGATTGAATTGAGGCGTATTTAGATCTGTTTTGCGAGAAACATGAGAAAGTATCCCAACTCAATCTCTTCAACGAAGCAATTGAGCCATGTGTGAAATCGAATCGCGATGTCTTGTTGGAATGCATTTCCTTGCTGCAGATCTTGGTAAAGCGGCGGTCAATGGTTCACATAAGCTCAACTCGAAAGCCACCATCTACGGCGTCCCCGAATGATCGGCATCTTCAAGTGATGTCACCAGCCGGGCCGGTTCGAAGCAGCACCACATTGATTTCGGAAGAGTACCGAGACCGATTTACCACATTGGGACAGTCAGGGTGGGAGTGTTGAAAAGTACCGGCCATCCGTGAGGCAGAAAGCCGGGATACTCGATTGGGTGCTGCCTGACCAAAACCAGCAGAACGACCCCGATTGATTATGGGTGACGATTGGGTGTATTGTAAGGACCCGGAAAGACAAGTGACTTGAGCGTGAAAGAACTGCCCTACTCGGACAATGTGAGTTTTATCGCTGATATCTAATCGACCTCATAAACCTAAAATGTTCCGAATACTTCCTAAGGCTTCGACACAAGGCCTCCTTGGTTTTAGATGCGGAAGTTGTTTGCCGACGATGAACAAACTCGGAATTCAAGCTTCTGCATAGAGATATAGTGTTGAGTTCCAGAGAAATCCTCAAGCAACAGGGCACGGTCCGCCGCGTTGGCGCAATGGTAGCGCATCCGCCTCCTATTCCATCTCGGAGATACAGGACAGCGGGAGGTTGTGGGTTCGAGCCCCATGCGTGGTTGAAATTTACTTTTTGACTTGTGAGACAAGCGCCTGGCTGTGTAGATACGGGTCTTTGATCTAGATGGATTGCGGCCGAGTTGTCAATATAAGGGAGACGGATTGCGACCTGAGCAATTATCTTAGATGGACCTCGACCGGGTAATTGATGTAGATAATCTGCAACCGTGGGATTAATCTAGATAGACCGGGCCGTGGCTGTAGTGCAAGCAGTCTTTCAGTTCAGCAGCTTTAAGGTCATCACGACAGCGGTTTCCAGGGGATCCACTTTTTCCGGGCTCTCAATTCAGACGTCTGGACTCTACAGCCAAGCCCCAAGATAATCCCCATACTGGCATCATATAGTGACCCTCACCGCTTAGTACCTAGTCTGAGACATGACCGATTTTTTCTCGAAAGAGCAGGGAGATTGGAGATTTCAATCTGTGGTTCGAGAGATCACAGCTTCTTGAGAGCAATAGGTTCGTAAGCGGCTGCTGGGAACAACTCGCCTTCGCCAGCGTCATCGCCATCGCCATGCTCGCCCACTACTCTTTTCAAGGTGAGAAGTCCTGCTTCATCCTTCTCATAGTAATCATTTCCGAGCCTTGTCTCATATGTGCTGAATAGTCTTGCAGTCACGATCCTCATTTCTGCCCAAGCGACGCTAAATTGTGTCCCAAACATTAGCAAGGATCCTCGGAAGTCAAAGAAGCTGGGCGACTCACTTCATGCCAACACACATTCTTGTTCCACTTCCAAAGGTCCAAAAGCTTCTTTGCAATCTTCGGTACTCTTGGCAGGTTTTCGGGAGGTCCCATCGCTCTGGATTCCAGTCGCTTGGGTCTGTGAACACGGTGGGGTCCATGTGGACGCTCGCTGCTTGGGCCGAGACCAGCATCTATCAGAATCGGTAAGCATGGGATTTCCTAACGGAAGTGTCGCTCTTGATAATTTGCTCGAGGAACACCTACTCCGGCCGGCACGAAGTAGCCATCGACGGTCATCCCTCCAACGGGCGCTACCCGCGTGAGGGAGCCAGGAATTGGCGGGTAGCGGCGAAGCGTCTCGCGGAGAAGGCAATCCAAGTACGGAAGTTTGTTAAGATCATGGAGCTCAGTTCGCGAATTTGGCTTTACTCCTGCTTGTCGAAGCTCGTCTCGGAGGCGCAGCTGACGGTGGCGGTTTTGAGGCAGAGATAGGAGGTAGACCAGCCAAGAGAGCGTGTCCGGAGTGGTGAGAGAACCTGAGCAAGAGAATCGTGAGAAACGAAACCGAATTGGGCGCTCGAACCGGGTTCCTGATAAAGAAATGAACCTACCTGCTGAGAAATTGTCGAAATTCTCGCTCTGAATGTATTTGACGCTCGGCACGACCTCGGAGCTGCCGTTGACCTTCAGGTGCTGAGCGAGAAATTGCGCTGCAGACAAGCTGCCGACGGGGTCGGGTCTGGTCTGCATGGCTCTGTTGGTAGCCTCTTGAGCCCAGATGTGCATCTTGGACGTCATGATAAACCACCCCGGAGCCAGCTTCTCCAAGACCTTTGCGATTCCTACATCGAGATAGGTAGTTAGCATAATTACATTGGAGGCCCGGGGTGGAGAGCTCACGTGGAAACCACGAGGTAAGCAAAACACCCAAAGTGGTGGTTTCAGCCTCAGTCAATCGCGAACCGAGGAGATACTCCATCATGTCCCTGTCGCCCTCCTTGTCTCCGAGGAGGTCCAAGTGAGCTTCCTTGCCGTACACCAGTCTGGCCATGGTGTCTGCGGCAAGCCATCTCAGCTGGGACCAAATGTCAATCCAACCCTCGGATGTTGCTGCTTCATGGAGATTGGCCATGAATTGGCAACTAGATCGTTCATCATGACCTGGGTTGACTCATTCGAGACCACCGGCGCAGCGTATACTCCAGCAATGGCCTTTCGACGCTTGAAATGAAGCTGGCCGTCCCGCGTGCTTGCCGTGTTGACCTGCCCGAAATGTTCCAGGAACTCTGCATCTCCACGAGGGCGAGACAGCTTCGGAGTGTGATTGAAAATGTCGCGGAGAGCGTTGGCGGAGCTGAAGGAGACGGAAGATGGGCCGATCTGTACCACGAATCCGTACATGGAATGGAGGGCTTGAATCGTGGTGGTGCGTTGCCCTGTTCGATTCAAGTCAGCGAATTGAGCAGTTTAAGGAGAGCCTGGCTTCAATGTTCACTTGCCTCGCAAATCGTATCGCAGCATCCAGAGTTCGGTCATCTTGGCGAGACGAGGCCCCGGGAATGAAGAGGTTTTGGCCATGATTGCCCGATGGGCAATGCAAGCAGCGACCGACAGAAGAAGCGCTTGCGCAGCGAAGCTGACAAGGTTTCCAAGGCTCGCAAGCAAGATGAAGTCTGTGATCATACTGCAGTGAGTGATTCGCAAGATTGAAGTTTGAATGATGAGAAGTTGATAAATGTCGTCAACGAGGGAGAATGTCGGTCTTTTATAGACGACGGGATAGATTTATTTCATTCGGGAAGATCAAGCAGTGAAACAGGCCATTAGGAGAACCGGAAATCCCGGATGAAAGGTTTTTCTGTATAATTTTTTCTATTGGGTCGACTTCTATCTTGATGCTCATTACGTCCGCGATTGAAGTTCGGTCGAGGTTATAAATTTTTGGATTGGCCAGCACAACGGGGCGCAGCCAAACCAAGGGAGCACGCCGTGGTCTCAGCAATCAATGCACCCGGCCAGGCACCGGACTCCTGTCCAGATACTGAAGACATGCAGTGCCTGCTCATTACAATTTCAATCCACTCGCAGGCAATGTGGCCCAGACCTCTCCGGGGCAGTCGCCTAACCCCACGATGCCCTCGCCCTTGAGTTTCTCCATCTCAGTTGCCACCTGAGCTCTGATAAGACCAGAAAGCCTCTCACCCTCCTCAGCCTCGAGTCTAGCACGAGGTCCTTCCCCGAGCAAGAGATTCCTTCTCTCCTCATCCGTCAGCGAGCTGTCAGCAGCCTCTGCGGCCGCCTGTCTCGGAATGATGTGAAAGTGAGAATGCGGAACCGTCTGGCCAGCCGCACCACCTGGTTAAATCAGCGTCTGTACTATTTTCGCAATGGAAACATGACATAGCCCGCTCACCGTTAGCCTGGAGGATGTTCCAGTTCCCATCGGTGCCTGCCCCGACTGCCCGCATGACCGCTCTGCTCAACACCGGGAGCCAAAAGCCGATAGCTGCTGATTCGAGGGCGGTCAAGTCGGTGATCTTCTCATGGTGCTGGCGAGGGCAGACCAGGAGGTGGCCGTCGGAAACAGGTGCAATGTCGAGGAAGGCAACGACGAGCGGGGTCGAGAGGACGGGATATGCACTCCCGATGGGTAAGTGGACGGTGGAGGGCTCGGCTAATGGTGGGATGCCGGAGCCGATGAGACAGAAAGGGCACGGCATTTCGAGAGCGTTTACATCCAGTTCTTGAATACCGGGGAGAGTAGGGATAGATTGAGGTGTGGCTTCCTGGGTTGATTTGAAGTAAATGACGACCAGAAGTCCAGGTGCGGAGTTGATTACTGGATCAATGTTGCAGCTACCTAGGCACGAGCTGCTCTTTAGATGATCCCGACTAGCCGGGCTCGCCTACCTCCGTCTCATCCGCGGAGGCCGGAAAGCTCGGGTGGGCGTCAGTGGCAAGTAGGTACGCGGAAAAGTGCGTGGGCTGACCGCTAGACTGTACATCACGCATCGTACTTGGAATCCACGGGTCCGATGTCAGCTTACAGGTGCCGTCGCCTAGACCTTGAGGACGTATAAACACAATGGCCCGCCATTTCACAGCACGATGACAGCGCCATACTAAACGGTTGCTCCTTTCATTCAGAGGATTCTCTCTACAAGCCAGGAAGTCCACCCAAATCCACTGGGTCTTCCAAGTCTCATGCTTCCATCTTGACGTTCTCGTAATCCTCGCTATCAGGCCTGTCCTCCCAAAGTTGTCTTGTGATCGTGGAAAACACGCTAACATAATGTGAAATCAATACCCTCCACGGTACCGCCTCGTATGCCGAAAATGCGAAGGTGATGGCGCCACTGCACATCGCCGCCCACTGATCGAGCTCCGAAATGGCGAATGGAACGTTCCCCAGGTAATTGTCCGTCAAGACATTCGGGAGAACAACGACCACCATGATAGGAGGGCCAGTCAGCGCAATTGCGCCTATGATGAACAAAGCGGACCAGAAGGCAAGCTTGAGAGCCCCCTTGCGCAGGCTTCTCTTCGAAAATCCGAACCAAAATGGCCGCCTCAGGGCTTGCTGAAGCTCGACAATGAGGGTGATGAAACACCAGTAGCCAGCGGCGGGACAGAAGAGGCAGGTGGGGATGGTGCAGAGGGGGATGAGGAAGAGGCATACGAAGGCCAGGTACATGATCTCGGCGAACTTCATCATGAACCAGAAAGGGCTGTCCATGGCCATGTTGAGAGCGACCAATGCATCGAGGATGACGAAAACAAAGGATCCGAGAAGGATGAGTTGACACGTCCTTCGCAGCCGGACGGGAAAGAGAAAACAGATGATGAACATGGTGATGAGCACTCCGGTGCTAAACATGATGACTGACAGGGGGAGGACTAAGCTCATGCATTCGGAGATGAGCTTCTGAGTGGGACGGGCATCCCAGGGTGGATGGTTCGTATGGTCGGACTCGTCTTTGATGCCGGCGAAGATCCAGTCGTATGGCGGGGCTAGGACGGCTCGTACGGCGGGCCAATTTCTCGACCGACTGGCGAGTTTGACACAGAGATCGCCGGCGGCGACGAGTGGGTAGAAGAGGGCGGCGGTCATTTCGGCGGCGAGCAGTGTCGAAGCCCTGTTGTTGGAGGAAGAGGCGAAGGCATCGCGAATGGCGGTGACGACGGTTGATGCGATGATGAGGAACCAGCCGATGAGGGAGCCGGGGCCATAGAAGCCGGCGATTTCTGATGGTGCGCCCCCCGGGGGCATGATGGTGCCGTCCATGGTGCGGTGAGTGGTTGTGTCTGGACG